CCAAATCCTCCCAACTGGACCAACAGACATGATAAAGAGAGAAAAGATTGAAGTTGCCCAGGATTTTGTCTTGCTTGAACCCGCCATCAATGCTCATGGAAGCACCAGTCAAGAGATCAAGCATCAGGTTTCCATGGGCAAATCTGCTGCACAAGACCTCTTAAAAATGTTGAAGAGCAAGGATGTCACTTTGAGGAGTGATGTGTCCCTGAGTCATTTTCAATCACATCATAGGCACGCAAAAGTTGGACAATGAATACAGAAGTCTGCAGAAGAATGGACACATTTGGATTACGGTGCCTCGGAAGAATATTGACAGTACCTTGGACTGCCAGATGAACAAACAAATCTATGTTGACAGAAATACAGTCAGAATGTTCCTTGGAAGGCAGGATGGTGAGCCTTTGTCTCCTATACTTTGGACAGGTTAGTAGGAGAGACCGGTCCCTGGAAGAGGACAGCGAGCTTGTTGAAGTAGGAGGTCAGTGCAAAAGTGGGAAACGTTCAGTGAGATGGATTGACACAGCGCCTGGAACATTACAGCCATGGTGAGGATGGCACAGGACTGGACGGTGTTTCATTCTGCCGTGCGCATGGTCACTGTGAGGCAGAAGTGACTGGACATGTAACTACAATAGGTGTAGGTGTGTATCCCTATATAGAGATGATTAAAGACCCAGGGGCATTGTTATGGATGTTTCTGCGACAGAACCAAATACCTTGTGAGGTTGGTTTCCTGAGTTTTAAATTATAAATTTAAATTCTATATGTAAACTTAAATTATAGCTCATAACGTATATGTTGTACATAACAGTGTGGTGAATTGTGTCTGGGGTCTGCAGTGCTTTTGAGCGGCCATGCAAGGCACAAAATGATTGGTTTTCTGCTTGTCTGGAACAAACGAGAAAGAAAGGACCCCAAACTCTGGGAAGAATGTAATCTACACAACCCATGGCCTTATCTAGCCTAAGTCTAGATGCCTGGATGGTGTCTGGTCACCAGGATGGAATATTTTGCTCAGGGCCACAATCGATGTCTCTTGATGGAATGAGAGATGCATGTGGAGCAGAAGTCACATTCTTAAAAAGCCCAGACTTATTGGGCCAGTGGAGACGGGAGGTACTCTATAAACTTTAAACTGAAATGATCTCTTGAGGTCACCTTTTAGGTAACTAACAGATGGGCTCATAAAATAAAAAGTATCACCGAGGAATAATGTTCTTCTGGTCTTAGAGTCCATTAAAAAATCATCTATAGGAGGTCAAATTGTCAAAAATTACTTTATTACAGAGATTCAAAAGGGCAGAGAAACTAGAGTGTGGAAGATAGTACAACCAGAACTGAATGATGAGAATGAGTCAGAATGTTGTGAGAAATGTAACCAATATCACTAAATACTGTGTGTAGACGTTGTTAAATCGGAACCTGTTTTGCTGTATGTACTTTCACCTAAGATACAATAAAACAATATTTTTTAAAAGAATGAAGCTACATGGAAATAATTAGCCTGATGGATTAATGGGCCATGCATTCGTCCATCTCCATGATCCCAAGACTAGAAGAACTAGATGGTGCCTTGTTATCACTACCAACTGCTCGGAAAGGGATCACATTAGAAGGGACTGAATAGAGTGGGAGAAAGATGTGGCACAACTGAAAAGCATAAAAATCCGGCTGTTAGGAAGGAGAGAGGTGGGTGGGATCCTTGAGGCTATAGCCCTTAGTCACCCTCTAGGTCTGGAAATGAATTCACTCTCATAGCTTAATTCTTAGCCAATCAATAAACAAGCCTATAAGGAGAACGACAACATGGTTAAGGTAGATACACCTTAGAATAATCACCTCTTTTATGTCAAAAGGGCAGTATTTATCCTAAGACAAGGTTCAGAAGGCTCAGAAAAGAAGGAAGAATGGAAATAGAAAACACGAGGAGGAAGTGGAACAAGCGCTAATTACATTGTGGGGATTGCAGTCAATGACATGAGATGAAATGTTTATGAATTGTTCACTAGAAAACTGATCGACTCCATAATCCTTCACGCAATTCACAATAAAACGTTCTTATTCCAAAGGAAGAAAGACTTATCCCAAGCTCATGAATGTTTTCTCCAATTATAGAAGTTTGTTGGTTTGTTTACCTTTCATTTTTGGTTTACAACTCACCTGGAACTGGTTTCTGTGTATGGTGTGAGGTAGGGGTCAAAATTGATCTTTTACAATTTTTTTCTCTTTCACTGAAGATCATCCAAATAATTGAGGTCCGTTTATTGAAAAGACTATTTACCGCAGTTTTGTTATACCATTTCTGTTCTAAATCAAATGTAGTATGTATTTCTGGATTTTCTATTCTGTTCTACTATGCATTTGATAATTGTGACAACTTCACAGCGTATTAAATACTGAAGCTTTGTAATCTATCTTATATCTGAGAGTTTAAGTCTTTCAAATGTGTTCTTCTTTATCAAGATTTACTCGGCTATCATTAACCTTTTGAATCTTCATGTATATTTTATATTCAACCTGTCAATTTCTACAAAAAATGAGATTTTGATTAATTTGAGAATAGATAACTTTGCAACAATGATTTTTGAACCATAAATATTCTATATTATCCAATTTATTAAGTCTTCTTTAGTTTACCTTAATAATATACAAGTTTTTATTGCGAGGTATTGCACATATAGTCTGCACTTAAGTTTTTGCACATATAGTTTGCATTTTAAAGTTTTCATAAAGTTTTTGAAAATGGTATCTGTGATAGTTAAGGTTTATTGTGCTAACCTGGCCAATGAACCCATGTGGGATTAATTGAAGGGCGGAGCGATAAATGGCTGGATAAGCCTCACCTTTCTTGCCTCTTGCTCTCTGATGGTCGGACCAGGGTGCAGCTGCCTTAGCTAGTTCTCTGCCTCAGCTAGCAAGGCTCACTTCCTGCAAGACATCCCTGAGGAGAAGCCACATGGACCTACCCTGATGCCCCCCTGGGTGCTGGAGTAGCCGTGTGGAGACCCCTGCCAGCGCTGAGATGCTTACATGCTCACTGATTCAGTGTTCCTCCTGCATTTGGAGTCATTGCATGTGTTTTGTGAGTTTGAGGAGGACTTTGTAGATTGGTGTCGGACATATGGGCTAATGTCAGACTTATGGGATTGGACTGGACTGGGTAGGGATGCTTTCTTAATGTACACTTACCCTGTATATAAAACATGAGTGTCTATGAATTTTGTTTCTCTAGTTTACCCAGACTAACACAGTATCTTTAAAAGTAATTTTACAATAGTTGGTCATTGTGTTAGTCTGGGTAGACTAGAAAAATAAATTCATAAACATGCAAATGTGTATAAGGAAGAGGTTTATATATAAAAACTATTGAAAATTGAGAAAACATCCCAGCCCAGTCCAGATCAGGCCCATAACTCCAATATTAGCCCATCTGCCCGATACCAGTCTATAAAGTCCTCTTCAGGCTCACGAAATACATGCAATGATGCAGAATATAGGAGGATCACAGGCCAGTGGTTAGAAGTCTTGTGACTCCAGTGGCATTGGAAGCATCTCAGCACTGGCAGGGGTCTCTACTTGCCTTCTCTGGCTTCAGAGGTCTGGTTGCATCAGGATAGGTCCAAGTGGTTTCTCCAGCCCAGGGCACTGGGTCTATCAGCATAGTGCCATGTGTCTTTTCAGTAGAGTGTCTCCCAGGGAGTGAGTAGAGCAAGAGAAGTTTCTCCCACCTCCAAGAAGGAATACCAGATTTCCCAGAATTCTCAGGAGAAGGCCATGCCCACACAGAGGCCCCATTGGCTATGATCCAATTGGCAGACTAGACTCTACCCCCTTCACTCTTAAGCCTCTCAAGTCCCAAATTGACACCAGATTATGTAACTACCACAGTCATATATGGAAATAAAATTAATTTTTGCATATTGGGTCACACTATTTGGTAAATAGTGATTAGATAGTGTCAGTTTTTAACTCTATCAATTTGTGTACATTCTTTTAGAATTTTTAATATACATCATGTCATTTATCCAATAACAGCCTACTGATTTATTTTAAGTTATTCCATGCCTTTTATTCTTTTTTTTCTTTATTGTTTAGAGAGTGCTTATGGTATATTGTTGAAAATAGCAGAGGTGATAGTGAACAGGATTTTCTCAATCTTGATTTCAGAAGTAAATATTTCAATATTACCACTGAGAATGAATAGTACTTACGGCAAGTTTTTAAAATTAAAAATGATTTTAGTGTTATAATTTCTCTTTATAAAGTTAAGGACATTTTCTTCTTGTCTGGTTTACTACTTTTAAAAAGTCTTAAACATGAATGATATTAAGTTTTATTAAATGACTTCTCAACATCTGTTGAGTCAATCATGTTAATTCTTTCTCCCTTATTCTGTTAATTGGTGAATTAAATTGATTGATGTTCAATGGAAAACTAACTTTACTTTCCTAGAGTAAACTCAAATTGATTGTGATGTGTTATTCTTTTTACATATCACTGGATTCAGCTTACTAATAATTTGTTTAAAATTGTTGCCATTATTATGTTCATGAGTGAGATTGAGCTGTGTTTTTCTTATTAGAGCACCCTTTTCCAGGAGGCCTGCTGGCCCAGTGGTCAAATGCTTGGTGTCAACTGAAAGTCTGATGTTTTGAACCCTGCAGAGGTCATAGGGTTGCTGTGAGCTGGAATCTACTCAACAGCACTCAATGAGGGTACCCTCATCAGGGTTTCAGTACCAAGAATGGACTGGCTTCCTAAAGGGAATTGGGACGTGCACTCTCATTTTTTCCATTCTAGGGAAGAGTTTGTGTAAAATTGACGTTGTTTATTTCTTACAGGTATGGTAGCATTGACTAGTGAAGTCATTTACACATGCACTTTTCTTTAAATATTATATTAGTTGTTAGTTTTTGTTGATGATCTTTATCAGGTGGAGAAAGTTCTCTTTGGTTTTTAGTTTGCTCAGAAATTTTCTAAGAAATGGCTGTTGCGTCCAAGCTCGGTCCGGTGCCCTGTTCCGTTCCTCTTGTGACCCCGGTCGCTCGTCCCAGCCCAACAGTCAATATGGTGAAGCAGATCGATAGCAAGGAAGATTTTCAGGCAGCCCTGAAGAGTGCTGGAGAGAAGCTTGTAGTGGTTAACTTCTCAGCCACATGGTGTGGGCCCTGCAAAATGATCAAGCCTTTCTATCATTCCCTCTGTGAAAAGTATGGCAATGCGGTCTTCCTTGAAGTTGATGTGGATGACTGCCAGGATGTTGCTTCAGAGTGTGAAGTCAAATGCATGCCAATATTTCAGTCTTATAAAAAGGGACAAAAGGTGGGTGAATTTTCTGGCGCAAATAAGAAAAAACTTGAAGCTACCATTAACGAGTTAAGTTAATTATGCTTCCTGAAAATGTAACCAGCCATCAGCTGTGTAAACCTTTTTGTATTTACAAGAAAGAAGAATCAAGTATGAAGACTATATACCCAGCTACCATCTGATTATAAATGACAATAAAATATTAATTCTACCCTTTAAAAAAAAAAAAAAAAGAAATGGCTGTTGGATTTTATCAAAGTTCTTTCTGAATATATTGAGATTAGCATGTAGTTTCTTTTTTAAAATATGCTAATATTCATTTTTTACAAGTAATATTAAACCAACCTTATACCTTTAATCATGATGTACTGTGTAATATATAACCATAACATATTTTTTAATATATTAAGCATTATCATAATGCTACTATATATTTTAATAATTAAATGGTATTATATATCATATTATATATGATATATAATATTGTACTAAACTTTTGAGGAGAAAAATAATACCAATTTTATGTAAACTCTTCTGGAATATTCCTTGTGAATTTATTTTTTTTAAAACTTTAGCAGGTACAAAATGACTATTATAATATAATACCTATTATAACCTAGTGAAGCTCTGTATTTATTTTGGAATGAGCTTTGGGTTATCTGTTTTTCAAGGAACATGTCCATTTTCCCTACATTACACATGTACTCGCATACAGTTGACCATAATATTTCATCATTGGTCTTCCTGTCTGTAGATTTTTTTAGATTGTTTTATAGAGATCATCTCTACTATTCCTGATACTTATAATTTGTTTATTTCTTGTTCTTTTTCAGAGCAGGCTAACTAGAGCTTCTCAGCTTTCCCTGATCTCAACAAATATCTTGTGGCTTTATTATTTTAACGTACTATTTTCTGAGTTCTATTTTATTAATTTCTACTTCTGACTTTTACTGTTGTTCTCTTCTGTTTACCTTAGGCTTAAATTTGCTTCCTTTTCCTGTTTGTATAAGGTGGGAACTAAGGCTACTGTCTCAAAGCTTCTCCTCTTTTCTCACATAAAACCCAGAAAACCAAACTGACTGTCACCGCGTCCGTTTTGGCTCCCGGCAACCCCACCGGACAGACTGTACTGCCCCTGTGGATTTCTGAAACGAACTCTTTGCTGGAGTAGAAAGCCTCCCTCTTTCTCCCTCAGTGTCCTTAGTGGTTTTGAAATCCGACCTTGTGGTTGGCAGCCCTGTGTGTAACTCACTGCGCCACAGGGCTCTTTCTTCTCTAACACAGAGGCTTGTTATTTTGTCTCTTTATAGGCATGTACTACTGCCTCCTACACATCCATGATTTCTTTGGTACCTAAAATGAGTCCTAATGTTTTGGCTTATGACTGCCTTTCACATACCTTTTCCCCACATTGTGGGGATTTGCATATTGATGCATTTATTAATTCAACAAGCACTACTCTTTGTTCTCAAGTTGATTTCTGCTCATAGAACCCTGAGAGGACACAGTTAACCTACCCATAGGGAAATCGTTTGCTTTGATTTCATTTCTAGTTTCACTTTTGTTTTCTTCTTCGAAGCATAAATTATTTAGAAGCCTGTGATTTAATTTCCAAACATTTGGGACTTTTTCAGATAGGCCTCTGTAAGAATTTCTAATTTAATTCCATTGTTGCTGGAGAATATACTACAGAATCATTTTAAATTGATTAAGACTTGTGTTTGGGTTCAGATTATGACCTATCTTGATAAATGTTCCATGGACGCTTGAAGGGAATGAGGATTCTTGTTGTTGAGTGCAAAGTTCTACAAAATGTCAATAAAGCCGTAGGGCACTGTTTCTCAACCTTCCTCATGCCACGACCCTTTCATACAGTTCCTCAAGCTGTGGTGACCCCAACCATAACATTATTGTCATTACTACTTCATAGCTTTAATTTTGCTACTGTTATGAGTCAGGTGACCCCTGTGAAAGAGTTGTTTGACCCCCAAAGGGGTCGCCACCCACAGGTTGAGAACCGCTGCCATAGGGGAATCAGTGGGGGAACGGTGTAATCCCCATCCACAAAGGCCTTCAAGCATTGGCCAGACAAGTTGGGATGGGCATTATAGAGATTCTTTTTTAAAAATCATTTTATTGGGGGCTTATACAGCTCTTATCACAATCCATACATTTGTACATAGCTTGCCATCGTCATTTTCAAAACATATTCTTTTTTAAAAAATCATTTTATTAGGGGCTCATACAACTCTTATCACAATCCATACACACATCAATTGTGTAGAGCGCAATTGTACATTAGTTGCCCTCATCATTCTCAAAACATTTTCTCTCCACTTAACCCCCCGGCATTAGGTCCTCATTTTTCCCCTCCCTCCCCGCTCCCCCCTCCCTCATGAGCCCTTGATAGTTTATAAATTGGTATTTTGTCATATCTGGCCCTGTCTGATGTCTCCCTTCACCCACTTTTCAGTTGTCCGTCCCCCAGGGATGAGGTCACATATAGTTCCTTGTAATTGGTTCTCTCTTTCCTACCCATTCTCCCTTTACCCTCCCTGTTTCGCCACTCATACCACTGGTCCTGTAGGGCTCATCTGCCCTGGATTCCCTGTATTTCCAGTTCCTATCTGTACCAGTGTACATCCTCTGGTCTAGCCAGACTTGCAAGGTCGAATTCGAGTCATGGTAGTGGGAGCGGGGAGCAAACATTTGGGAACGAGAGGAAAGTTGTATTTTTCATCATTGTTACATCGCACCCTGACTGGCTCATCTCCTCCCCGAGACCCCTCTGCAAGGGGATGTCCAGTGGCCTACTAAAACATATTCTTTCTACTTGAGTGCTTGGTATTAGCTCCTCATTTCCACCCCCTTCCTCCTCCACCCTCTCTCTCTCATGAACCCTTGGTAATTTATAAATTATTATTATTTTTTCATGTCTTACACTGACCAATGTCTCCCTTCACCCACTTTTCTGTTTTCCATTCCCCAGGGAGGGTGTTACATGTTGATCATTGTGATCAGTTCCCCCTTTCTGCCCACCTTCCCCTTCCCCTCCTGTCGATACTCATATTATAGGTCTGGGGAGTTTACCTCCTGGATTCCCTGTGTTTCCAGCTCTTTTCAGTACCTGTCTAGCCAGATTTGTGAGGTAGAGTTGGGATCATGATAGTGGGGGGAAGGAAGCATTTTTTAAAATAATATATTTTTTTGTGTTTTTTGGTGAAAGTTTATAGAACAAATTAAATCTCCACTTGTCAGAGTCAATGCCGATTGTTCAGTGGCGTCGGTTACGTTGCTTCCAGTGCGTGATGTTGTCTGTCACTGTGTTCTGGTGGTTATTTTTCCAGTGGTCTATTTTCCTGTTGTCTTTAAAGGAAGTTGACCTTTCAGTTTTTGCATGAATTCATTTACTGACCTGGCAAACAGTACCCTGGGCTGTCTACTTGATTTCCACTCACAGGAGCCTTATAGGACAGAGTGGAATTGCTCTCATCTATATTTTTAATGGAGCATCATACTCGTAGACAATATCCTTTAATTTCGTGTGCCAGTCTGTTATCTGGATGAAACATGGCCTTGGGTGACAGTCTTGGGTCAGAGTTTAAAGCAATAGTCTCAGGATGTCTGCTGGCCTCAGCTGGTTGAAGAAGTCTTGACAGGTAAGATGCTGTGTTGTTTCCCATGTTTTTCCTCCTCTTCTAGGAAGGCCCATCATCCACTGCGGCCCTCATCAGGAGGGTCGTGGGGCACCGCCTGGTTCTTCTGGCATTGAGGTGATTGAAAAACAGACTATGAGATGGGCTCACTCAGAAACTCACTTCAGTTGAGTCGATTCCAACTCGCTGAGACCCTGTAGGACACAGTAGAACTGCTCCCGTGGGTTTCGGAAGCTGTAAATCTTTACCGAAGCAGACTGCCTAGTCTTTCTCTCTCGGTGTCTGGTGGTTTCAAACCGCTGACCTTGTGGTTAGCAGTCTAACTCATAACCCACCAGGGCTCCTTGTGGGATGGACTAGATGGAGCTAAATAGTTGCTGAAGGAACGGATGATCAACAGTCTCATCTAATTCTGCGTGTCCGTGGTTTCAGAAGTGGGGCAGTACGGTACAAGCACACAGGCCTAGAATACTCTGTTTCTAGAGTCGTTAAGGGGATGAGCAGGCACAAGACCATCTTTTCTATTTCCTTCTGTCATCATCTAGCCCTCTACGCCCCTGTTAAGCTTCGCAGGATAAGCTGAGCCCACTTGCAGAGCGCTGGGACCTGGAAGAGGTGCAGCTAGATAGAGGCAGGGGGAGTTTTCTCCTGAGTTGTGGACAAATTCCAGTTCATGCCCTGTAAGGGGGCAGGAGGTGCAGGTTCTACCGCGTCCAGCACACTGCCCTCTAAGCAGGCCCAGCCTGCCTCCTGGCAGCCAGGAGGGCATGTCCTGGTTGAGGCTCATCTCCCTCCTCTCAGCAGTGTGGGTGGTTGTTAATGCCCCCTTCATCACTGCCGGCTGACCCAAGCTAGTCAGTGTCCCTGGGGAGTTCAGGGTGGGCACTTCCCCCTCTCCAACCCCATCCCCAGGCAGTGCTGGGAGGACCGCTCCAACCGACCAGCCGAGTCCTGCAAATGGTGCTACTAAATATTTCATTCGGTCTTAACAACTCAATCTGCCTGCCATTTATCCTGCCCTACCCCACCTCCTACCCCCCAACCCCAGCCCCTTTCTGATGAACAAAGTAGCCGGCTGGGAAGATCTGCCGAAGCCGTCACTGAAAGCTGTGTTCATCCTGCCCAGGGTGGGCTCTGGCAGAGGCACAGCATTAAGCAGAGAGCATCGATTGCAGCATTAGCTGGCTTTTTACATTCCCAGGCAGACAATGCAAGTACCTTCAATTATCTTCAAAGCAACTGAAGGGAAGGAAATTGGTCTTAGATGTGGTAATAGACTCCTCAAAGTCTGCTGAAGCATGCAAAGAGGTGCACATCGGGGACCACCAGGCCTGGCCACCAGGCCTGCTCCGGGGCAGTTCAGAGTCCAGTCAGGGGTCCGGTTCCTTGGACCTTGTGGGAATATGGGCCCCTGATGCCTTGGAGAACTGGAGGGGCTCAGGGCAGGGTCTCAAATGAGCAGGCATCTGCAAGGAGGCAAACAAACCAAGCCCCACTGGCACCGAGTGGATTCTGACGCATAGTGACAGGGTGGAGCTGCTCTGTGCGCGTCTGA